GACTGCTTGAGATAACAGCTCTCGGTCTATTAGCTGCCTGATATTCCATATAAAAGTTCTCCATCTATCAGTACACAAAAGTATTTGATGAAAATTAAATTTTGAAGACCACCTTACTTAAGACTTTATACATCAAACTATTTTCAATTACTTTTGACATTTTTAGGTATTATTATGCCTGAGGACTTCCATTATTTGTGCTGACCCTTATTAGGCCTATGTGTTACAAATCAAGAAGGTAGTAATAGTAATAATCAACATAGATGGGACATTCTCAGTATGCCTTTTCTAAGTGCTTTCCTAAGAGGATACGTCAAAAAATACGCAAGTAAGTTAAAAAGCATTGCCACTAAGGTCCAGTTCATTCATGCATGGGTTTACGCCAAGCAAAACTTGTTTAACCATGTCTCTGTCATAAGCAGATGGCTGCAGACAAATTTTATCAATAATACACTTGTCTAAGTCTTATTAAGGTCTAAGTCTTCACACACACACACACACACACACACACACACACACACACACATATGGCTCAATCAAAACAGTAGCTTCCAAGGAGATCTACTGGGCCAGTTAAATTTAAGCCAGAGAAGCCAGTTCAGAACGTTTTTTTAGAGTAATCCCAAAGGGATAACCTGGGAGGGGGGAAGGGGGAGATTCCAAAGGGATAATCTTAGTAGATTTTCTCAAAAGACACAATACATACAATCATGATTTGCAGCAATCTGAGGATAAGTAAATCATAGAAACAAAACTATCAAAATGTGAAGCTATTGTTTGTAAACATACCATCCACCTAGGTCTATACATTTCTAAAGACAGGGTTTCCATCTCTCTAACCCTTCCCCCCAAAGAATTATGCGCTCTTTGGTTTACACCACATCAAAATAGCCATTTTGGCAACCTTCAGGAACTCAAGTCATGTTCTCTTGAACATGTTCTTTTGAGTCATATTCTTTGAGTTTAGGTAACAAAATGAAATCTGAAGGAGCAAGATCAGGGGTATATGGTAAATGAGGCTAGGTGTCCAGAAAAATTCTCACAGAAACAGCCCTTGGTACCCTTAAACAATGGGTGGGTGCATTGACATGATGCAAAATATATTCCTCATCACAATTTCCCTGGCCTTTTTCTCACCGATACAGTTTTCCATTTCTTAAAGTTTCTTCATAATAAGCCCCTCAGACTCTCCTCCTTCAAGAAAATCTGCCAAGATCACCCCTTTGTACGACCAAAAAAACACCACACACAGTTACTATACCCTACTGAGATAGCCTCTTTTCCTTGAACTGAAGTGGCCCAGCAGATCCCTCAGAAGCCACTCTTTTGATAGGGCTTTCTTTGAAGACACCTTAAAGAGACCAAGACAAGTATATTACTGAGAATTTGTCTGCAGACATCCACTGACGGCAGAGGCATGTTTGAACGTGTTTTGGCTGGAATAAACCCCTGCGGGTATGAACTGAAACCCTAGTAGCAGTGTTTGTTTTTACTTCCCCTCATACATATGGGAAAATCGGCTTATATTTAGGAGGCAAGAGAGAGTAGTAGCATAAAATTATCAAAGTTCTTCTCCTAATCAATAGAAGCTCAAGTCTTCCAAACTGCTGAAAGTAATACGGGGATGTGAAATTTTGCTTTTCTTTCTCTAAATATGACAGAACTAGAAAAAGTTCCTGGGAAATTCCATGAACTTTAAATTGCATCTCTCTACTCATTTTTCGAAGCCTTCTCCTACATTTGTATTCATTAAAATACACAGATATTTACACACATACACGCACATATGTTTATATAAGGAACCCTGGTGACGCTGTGAGATAGGCATTGGGCAACGGAACACAACGTTGTCCAAACCCACCAGTCACGCCATGGAAGATGAGGTGGTCTACTCCCATAAAAACTTACATTATTGGAAAACACATAGGGCTGCTGTGAGCCCGAATCTACTCAGTGTTGGTAGGTTTGGTTGGTTGGTTGGTTGGTTGGTTGGTTTCTTTGTGTTTTATTTATCTGCACATATATGTTTATAAGCAAACACAAAGGTCATGAGAAACAGAGAACATGCTTTACTAACACTTCACTATATTCAACAAAGAAGATTATTTTATGACCAGGAAAACACTGCAGGTAATGCCAATATTTGTTGGATAAGAAAGGGAAAGTAAATCGAAGGAGAAATGGCCAGAGAAAAGAATTTGCCATATATACTCGAGTATCAGCCGAGGCACCTAATTTTACCACAAAACTGCATTAAAAATATGCTGAAAAACTCGGTTTATAAACAAGCATATACGGTACTTTCCTTTAACCTGAATAGATCTTTGATCAAAAAGAAAATCTTATCACTTAGTTTCAGGAGTATAATAAATAGCAAGTCTATGTGGTAAATAGAATTTAAATTTCTGATAGCTTAAATGACAGATTATTAAAATGTCTGATATTTGGTATCTGGTATCTTCTAGAAACTATACAGTTTATGGATACCTGTCACATTGTTTTGATCAATTTTACATCAAAAGTGAGGTCTTCCACTGATACTTCTAAATGGATACTGGTCTTCTCCACAGAAGAAAATTACTCCATAAAGTTTATATCAGATAGCTGGAAAAGTCACATTTGTAGTCATAGCTACTATCGGCTGTCAAGCCAACAATATTGAAGAAAACCAAGAGTTTTTAATATATGCTGGTTAATCTATCATCTAAGTGACATATAGGATAACAAAAAATGGAAATGGTTAAGCAAAATGCTACATTTTAGAAGTTCCCTTTTTCTGGCTTTATTTTTAATTTCAACCACAGTTTGAGATGAGAAAGCAAATTAACAGGAACCATCAGTAAAATATGCCCTAAGATAAGAGATGAACTACTTAGCAAAATGCAGTTTTTCTTTCCTTGCACAGATTATTTCAAACAGTTGTGTGTTTATATATATATCTATATGCAGTATATTATACTTTACATTATATATTATTAACGTACACACACGCAGGACTGTAAAAAGTTCATGAAAAGAGAGAATTAAAGAGATCATGGGATTTTTCCACAGGCCTTTGTACCCCGTGTGTGAATGTGTGTCTATATGTGTGTGTGTGTGTGTTTTCGGCAACAGTATGCTGATATATTGGTTTGGACTGAGAACAAATTAAACAATCTTTTCTGCGGTTTCTTAGTTTCCACACTAATAGCACATGGGGCTGGAAAATTATTTGCGGTGCAGGGGGTTGTTCTGTGCTTTGCAGGATGTTTAAGAGCATCTCTGGCCTCTACACATCAGATGCCAGGAACACCCAAATGCCACCCGTACTGACAATGGAAAATGTCTCTAAATATAGCCAAATATTCCGTAGGAGACAAACCTTACCCCTTGGTAAGAACCACTGTCTATTCCTACCTAAAATAGTGGGTGAAAATGACTTCAATTATACTTTTAAACTATCTTTCCGTTTAAGGGCTATTCACAGGGGCGCCCCAGATGGCTGTAAGAGGGAGACCAGAAACCTTCTTGAAAATGGAGGTTTTCATTTGTGTGTGTACTAGAAGGTCTTCTATAGCCTTCGCCAGATCTGAAAGAGGTACCCCAAAATGTCGATTTTTAAAAGGGTTATGAATAGTGAAAATAATCGGTGTCTTAAAGCTTTCTTTTCAAAGATATAAAGATTTAAAACACTAGTTAATACTCAGCAACAAATGTATTTGTGTTGTCGGTGATTGGTCAAGATTGCTTTCAGTACACCTATAAACCATTCATTCCACAAACATTTCTAAGGAAATACTATAGCCAGACACTGTGTTATTAATATTTCAAGGCTAAACTTAATTCTATCCCCTTCATAAAAAAAGAAAAATACGACCATTAGAAGCATAAATTCCCTAATTATTGCATATGAAGGGGATTCAAAATATTTGTGGGAAAATGGAACTAAAAGATATGGGGATTTTTCCACAAATTTTCAGAAGCCCTCTATTTCTGCCTATCAGAAGAAACCCCATTCCTTTCCAATGTTTCCTACCTTTCCTGGCTTAAACAAAATAAGCATGTACTAATGGCATACTATGTTTCAGACACTGTGATTAAGCCCAGAGAATATCAACTTGAATTTTAAAAAATACAGGCCTAAAATATAAGTGCCTGGAGTTGTGCGTGCAGTACAACAAAGCTCACTCCACAGTTTCTCTCTCCCTTTCCTGTCCGCAGGAAGCTACAGTCTCATCTCCAGTAAATGTCAAACCGTCAAGTGTCTCTCTGAGTTACCTTTTAGGTGTTCCATAGTAAAGTCCTCTTTGTGACTTAAATTCCAGCTAAAGAACTCACAGCCACGTGTGTAAATAACTATATTTCATACGAGACCCGACATCAGCATTCTTTGGAGCAAGCAATCACTAAATACCCTATCCTTGCTACAGTACCGTTTGGGGTTCAGAAGGCCACTGACCTTTTTCAATTATGTGGCTGTGATATACAACTTGAAGAGCTATTACATTCAATAAGTGTTTTGGTATAATAGACATGAAAATAGTCAATAAATAGAAAAGGAGTGGCTAGAGAAAGTTTGCTTCCAAATTTACCAAAAGGATTAAGGCTAGAATGAGTAGAACAATACACAAAACTACATCATGAATAAATCTTTATAAATAAGTTAGAAAATAACTGTGCCCATAAATGAGGCAGTACAACCACAAGTTAGCAATACCATCGTACCTAGCCAAAAGCAAAACTGCTAATAAAGTGTCTAGCACCGAAAAGTGATTTTTTAATTAAATGAATAATGAAGAGTTTTAGGCTTCTCTTATGTATTGACAACAATTAACTGAATGCTGCTACATAAAAATTACTTGTCAACCGAGAAGCAATGTGAATATTACAGATGATAGTAAATGACAGGGAAGCATTTAAATCTAGAGTATTGGACTTGCTGGAAGGAAAAAATAATTACAATACCAAATGATTCAAATCACCTAGGGGGTGAAAGAGCATTCCATTATTTACATCTTTACCTGCACAGCCAGAGAAGCAGCATTGTCAGAAAGCAAAATCTGCTCCTCTGTGGGAACACAATTAAAAGTCCACGTCAGTAGTGTGGCCACTAAACACGTCAAACATACCTAGGGTCTTTTTATTTGTGGAAAAGGATTCTTGTGTGTTTGTTTTCTAAAGAGGGCAGAGACATTAAAAATAATGACTATGAAATCCTTTACCAATGTTTTTATACAATGACAATTTTGGTTAAATGATCACAGTATACACATAACAATGAAACAGGACTACGTCCTCTAGTTAATCGTTCATTTCATTTTATCAGCACTATGTAATGAAGATTGTTCATTTAAAAACAAATTCCCTTTCAAGTTTTCAAGAAATATTCCTCTCCTTCTCATTAAAATTAAGTGAAACCCTATCTGTTCAAAGCCCGTTAGTTAAAAGTCAAAGCATTCACAATCATATAACACCAGCTTGCAGTTACCATCGCACAGTGTGTCTAGTCTGTCACACAAAAGAAAGATGACAAGCTCGCTGCAATAAAAATCCCATGCTTAGAAGACTGGGCCGCTGCCTATTAGTCTTCATTACTTTGCAGTCTTCTGACAACTGTAGCAGGCTGCTGAGCCCCAAATGGGGGCCATAATGTGATCTGATGATATATGAAGAGCTGCTAAAGGGAGCCTGAACCATCCTAGCCTATCCATTTTAACAGTCCCTTTTTACGGAGAGCCCACTTTACCACAGGACTTCAAAAATCTGCTGTCTCAGCTCTGGTGCAGTAAATCTGCCAACTGCGCTGGCAACCACATCATTTTACACTGCCCATAGCAGCCAATATAATGAGTCAATAATAAACTCGGGGCCTTACAGGCCATGAATAGTTGGTTTATACTGGCAAGTTTAGATAAAGCCTCCTAGACAAATTATGCAGGGGAACCCCCTTCTTTATAATTTATGTGATCTTTGCAGTAAATTATATTACTGAAGGTTTTAAAAATAAATATCTTTGTATATGAGGCCATTTTAAAATTGTGAACAAGTACCCACCTTTCAGTTGCTGATATAATGTAGCATTTTCAGGCCAGGGTTCTGCAGCTGTGGAAACAAGGCAGTGATAATTAGGCACAAAAGGCAAAAGAGCCTATCAATAAGCAGCCAACTTAATAATCCTGCTTTCCAAGGTTACTAATCATACTACCTCAGATTCTATAGTAACCTGTACCAGCGAATTGTTTGTAAGGCGTGTTTGATTTATTGTTTGGTGCTAATTTGTTTCTTATGAGGAGATGGGAGACATCTTGTGCCATCAAATTTTTGAAATTTTTAATTCAATAGCCTATCTGCTATAATTCTTTTAGACTCCTTCAAACATAGATCCAAGATGTTAATCATACATATTAAAAGCTACTAAACTTCTATCCCCTACCCCCCAAAAAAGGCGAAAGTTCATGTTTTATTGTAAACCTTTAACAAAATAAATTTTCAAATAGATGACACTGTACAAAAGAGTCAAATAGATCTGTATCAGGTGTGCATCTTTCTTTATAAGCTAGGAGTGTTTTAAAATAAAGAGGACCCCTTTTATATTCTATAACATTTCACTATCTTGACACCCCATCACCACTCCAGGTGAATAATTAAAGCAAAAGAACATGATGAAATAGTAAGTACCAACAACCTGACACAGAGCTAGCTAACCAACTCATTTGCATCCAGTAGCTTCCAACTTGCAGAATGGAGTAGAACTGTGTCATGGGACTTCCAAGCCTGCAATCTTAACCTAAGCAGGCTGCCACTTCTCTCTCCTACGGAGCAGTGGTGGGTTCAAACAGCTAACTTTCAGTTAGCAGATGAGTCCTTAACCATTGTGCCCCGAGGGTTCAATGAAATAAAGCTGTTGTTGTTGTTGTTGCTGAGTTGGTTCTGGCTCATAGCAGCCCACACACAACAAATGAAACTCAGGTTCTACGCACTCCTCAAAATTGTCATAACTGAGCCCATGATTACTAAGTTTAAGCCTGAAGTCAGGCTTGACATTTACCCTTCAGCTTCTTACCTAGTTAAGACGAGATACCAAGCAAATATTAGTAATTTGTTAGTTCTTAGAAAAAGCATGAGATTCAAATTTTGTCTACAAGCAGTACTTAAAAGGCAATGGCCGCACAGACGGAATGTTTTTTAAAAGAACTAAACTCACTGTCATCAAGTCAATTCCAATTCATAATGACTCTGTGGTCCAGGGTAGAACTATCCCTCCTGGTTTCCAAAATATTAAAACTTTATAGGATTAGACAGCCTCATCTTTCTCCCAAGGAGCATCTGGTGGATTCAAACCCTGGACCTTGGGGTTAGCAGCTCAGTTTATAGCCCATTACACCAAGAGAATATAATTTGTTGAATTCTTTGTAAAAGCCATAAGACATAAGAATAGCCAATTTTTTAAAATAATTTTATTGGGGGGCTCATACAACTCTTATCATAATCCATACATACAACTCTTTTATCACAATCCATACATACATCCATTGTGTCAAGCACATTTGTTGCCATCATCATTCTCAAAACATTTCCTTTCCACTTGAGCCCTTGGTATCAACTCCTCATTCCCCCCCCCCTCACAACAGTTGATAATTTATAAATTACGATTATTTTCTCATATCTTACACTGTTCGCCAATTCTAACACAATAACTGCATTTGCTCTCAGCAAAGAAAATAAATCAAGCAAGTAAGATTTGATAATGGATCATTTTTCTTACTGTTTACACTAAACTAAATCTCTGCTACGTAACAATCAAACCAGAGCCCACTGCCTTCTAATCTGCTTGGATTCAGAGCTGCACTCACTGAAGCAGACAGCCACGTTGGTCTCCCAAGAAGCAGCTGCGTCTAAGTTGGAACCTCTGGTTAAGTTTGAACCACTGACCTCCTGGTTAGCCACACACTTAACCACCACTGAACTACCAAGGCTTCTTGCCATAGCAACAGATTACCATTTTTGTAACAGAATTCTGGTTGTGTTTTGTTACTGTTGTTGTTTTAATTACACACATGAAATATTTCCTTAAGACTGATCGGCAGACCTCCTTAATTTGCTTTGAATTACACTTCAAAATAAAAAGAAAATCAAATTATATTATAAATTGTAAACCTCACTTTTGTCTTGGTTGGGTTTGGGCTATACAAAATTAAATTCATACTTAAGAATAATACAAAATAAAGGGCAATACACAGTTATGTATGTTGCTTATAAAATATTACATAAACATGTAAAACTATTTTCAACTTATATACCAAAGAGACTGAAACTGAACATTGATTCTATTTTATTGTAAAATTTTAGCAAAGTATAATTTCCATAAGAACCCAATTATCCTGCATAATAGTTTTCAAAATAAAAGTCAGGGAACTAAAAATATGCTGATACCAGCAAATTACTCAAAAATAAGCTTTTGGGATAAACTGTATGGTCAGCACACCTACACTGTTGACACATCTACACTAGAAACAATACAGTGAGGCTCATTCCTTACAAAATCCTAAATCATCAAAGATTCAATTATACAATCTATATTAATCTTATTAGAGCAATAAAAGATAGAAATAAAATTTATGAAAATTTCTAAGAATAAATACTGAAAATAAGTTTCTTGGGGGCACAGTTGCATGTTCCACACTGTGCCATGGGCCAAACTTTGCAGACCTCTGGTGTTCACTATGTGTGGGAAGACAGAAAAGGATGTTCAATTAAATGAACTGACCACCCATTCCCTAGATATCTGGTTAATGAAAGTTTTATTGAGCCTAATATTATCAATTATCTTAAAGTAATAGAGCATACTGTTTAAATAGTCTGGTAAGTTTAACTTTGGGCTAGATTTTTCTGATTATGTACTACACTTGAGTAATAAATCTTCAAAATAGTGGGAAAAAAGTATCTACTTGGCAGTAAAAATACGGTGAATATATTTAAGGCATTCTTTGATAAGCAGAAACTACTATGTAATATTACAGTATCCTCATATGAACAGCAGGAGCCATGGTGGTGCTGCTGGGCACCTATCAGAGTGCTAGCTGGAAAATCAGCAGCTGCTCCGGGGGAGAACTTGAGGGCATCTGCACCCACACAGATGTACAGCCTCAGAAAACCTGTATCGGGTTACTATGAGTCGGAATCAATTGATGGCACTAGGTTAAAATAAATCATTTTACAGGTCCCAGTTATTTCAAGATATAACCAACCAGGCCTCTGTGTTGGCATGGCACTAGGTTAAAAAAAAAACAAAACAGCAATTTACAGGTTCCAGTTATTTCATCACCACCCCTATGAATTATTACCTGACCACAAATAAGGAAACAGAACATCAAAAAGACCAATCCTGGTGCCATCAAGTGGATTCTGGCTCATAGCAACCCTATACAGGGTTTCTGAGGCTGTGTACAGGAACAGATAGCTTCATCCTTCTCCTTCCGAGCAGCTGGTAGGTTTGAACTACGGACCTTGTGGTTAGCAGTCTAACATCTACCCAATAAGCACTTCCACGCACCTTAAGAATAAAGAACCAAAAACATACCAAGCTCACTGCCACGGAGTAAATTCTGGCTCAGGGGGCCCTAGAAGACAGAGTGGAACTTCCCCTGTGGGTTTCTGCGACTGTAACTCTTTACAAGAGTAGAAAGCCTCATCTTTCTCCTGTGGAGTAGCTGGTGGTTTGGAACTGATGGCCTTGTGGTTAGCAACCCAATTTATAACCCTATGCCACCAAGGCCTCCATTAAAAATGGAAAACATGCCCATCAAAGTTGTTATTAAGAATCTAAAGGTAAAAAAGGGGTTAAGCATTTCACTTGCCAAGATACAAACTATTTCAAACTCAAAAATTATTATTGAAAACAAATTCTCAGAAAGCAACCCTACCTACCACTGTAAGGGCAGTCGTGGTTTAGCGGCAGAATTCTCCCCTTCCAAGTGCAGACCTGGGTTTTCATTCCTGGCCAATGCACTTCATAGTGCTACCCTCTATCTGTCAATAGACGTCTGTGTGTTGATATGATGCACAGATTTCAGCAGAGCCTCTAGGACAGACTAGGAAGAAAGGCCTGGCAATCTACTTCCAAAAATCAGCCAATGAAAATTCTATGGATCACAATGATCCGATCTACAACCACTCATCGAGATGGCACAGGAACTGGCAGCACGCTGTCCCGTTTCTGCACAGGGTGAAACTCGATGGAGGCAACATAACAGCCCTGCCAAAACATACGTGATTTGCTTCACACGTAGAAATCATCAGTTAAATAGGGAAGGCAATGAGATTGATGAAAACCTATATCATCCTGTCATTACAGCATCTTAAAACTCAAGGGCATTTTTTACGGAAGATAGATAGATTAGATAGATAGATAGATAGATAGATAGATAGATAGATAGATAGATAGATAGATAGATAGATAGATAGATAGATATGAAACAGCTGAGTATGCAAGGAATGACCAAGCCTATAAGCAGCACTCAGACTATACAAATATCACTAGCTGACGTATATTGCTTATAGAAACCACCTCCAATAATTATCTTTTAAGAAGACATGGGGATACCAATTTATAAACTATCAAGGGCTCATGAGGGAGGGGGGAGCGGGGAGGGAGGGGAAAAATGAGGACCTAATGTCGGGGGTTTAAGTGGGAGAAAATGTTTTGAGAATGATGTACAAATGCGCTTTACACAATTGATGTGTGTATGGATTGCGATAACAGTTGTATGAGCCCCTAATAAAATGTTTACAAAAAAAAAAAAAGGAGACATGGGGAAAGATATCATTAGTGTATCATCCAATAATCATGCCAAAGGTGAAGATTCTAAACTGAGTGGCAGGGGAATGGGTCCACAAATTGACCATGCAGGTCTCACTCTAAGAAATGGTAACTATCTTCATAAGATACGATAAATTCATATGACATGAACATTATCCTCTACATAATAAAGGATATACTTTGTTGGATACTATGTAGAGCAATGAAATTAAAAGATAATGGAATTTTTCCACAGACTTTTTAAAGCCCTCTTGAATTAATTTAAGCCTTCCTATGGAGAACAACGCTGGTGATGCTGGACGGATAACCGAAAGGTTAACAGTTCAAACCCACGAGCCACTCCATGGGAGAAGGATGAGGCTGTCTACTCCTTCTAAGATTTACCATCTCAGAAACCGCATACAGGCTCATTCTGAGTCAAAGAGACTCGATGCAGTTGGTCTTATTTCCCAAGACAAACAAATCAATACCCACCTCTTCTATGTGTAAAAATCAGATGCTGCCTAGCCAAACTGGCCCATAGTAAGCCATGTCTGTCTTAGAGCTGTGCTCCATATGGTTTCAATTGTGTTCCACATGGCGGACTAATAGGCCCGTCTCCTGACCTAAGGCAACTCTTGGTAGAACAGAACTCCATACTTTCAGCCTAAGCTGTTGATTAAATTAACTGTTTGCACCACCCAGACATGAGAGAGAGAATGGAACTGACAAATTGAAATTTAAAACATTCAAAATGCAAAATGTTTTACAATACTAATAAGGCATTTTCATCTTTTCTAGTTTTACTCCAGCTGACCTGAAATTATTTAAGCACAGTGAATAAAATTTCTCAATTCACCTACTTGGCCTAAGTTCAACTGCTACTACCCAAAGCACTCTGAGGCAAAATGTCTTCTTTAAGCTCCTTTTGGGAAGAGCTGATCTTAAATACAGATGGTGAGACTATATGCTTCTGAGAAGGAATGTGGCAGGAAATGCGGATAAAGGGAGAACATTCATCCAATGCTGTCGGGTGCAGGTTACTGGTATTACCATAACATCCTAAGTAAACAGTACGTTTGTTTGAGACCCATCACTAACAGGATGAGACTTGAGCTAAAGACCAGAATCTTCAACTTGATCTATGGGATCCTACTTGGCCTTGGACATCTCTAGCTCACAGGCCTTGTCACACCTCCTCAGCCCACTCTCTTCACTCCAGTCACACTGACCTGCATCCAGTCGGTGACTGAGCCATGCTCCTTTCCGTCCAGAAATTGACTTCTGTTATTTCGTCTGCTTGGAACAATTATTTACTACCTATAATCCTCATACCTCAACTCACACATCTCTTCAAGCAAAGCCAGCTTCATGGAGGTGCAGGGTCCTTGCTTGGTTTAATGCCCTGCTGTTGAAGCCTTGAAACTCTTAATAAATTTTGAACAAGGGGCCTCACATTTTTGTTTTACACTGGTTACTACAAATTACATACCAGTACTGTCAGTCTTCAATGGCCTCCCTGAACAGTTTAAACACTCCAAAGCATGCCCTTTGTCAATTCTTACACATTATACACTGCTTTGTACCACTAATCACACTCACTATTTTACATCAATTCGGGTGGCTATTTGATTATCTTCCCCATTAGAACAACAAAACCAAACCCACTGCTAGAGTCAATTCTGATTTACAGCAACCCTATATAGAATTTCCAAGCCTGTAAATCTTTACAAGAGCAGACAGCTCTGTTTTCTCCCCCAGAGTAGCTGGTGGGTTTGAATCATTGTGTTTAGCAGTTCAACGCCCAACCCACAGTACCACCACGGCTCCTTCTCCTAGAACACAAGCACCAAATACCCAGGATTCGTGTTTCATCTTTGCTTAGGACTTTCATCTCTAGCACCTCATACGTAATAAACCATCAGTAAATACTGGCTGAATAAACCTTCATTTTTATGATTACCATTATTGTTATTACTCTGTACCATTTAGGGTAAAAATCCAGCAGGAAAGAGATGGGAAATACGCAACATGACAAAAAAAGGGAAACTTTTCCCAGAGAACTTCAAAACTACGACTAACAATACAACTCTAGAAATATCAAATGGCAGCCTAGAATAATTGCTAGAACCGAATTCTATATGTCTGACCCATATACCAACCCCAAAACTAATGAATAATATAAGAAATATATGGTTCTCACCAGACATCACCATTGGCAGGTCTAAGTCTAATGGGAAAAGCCCTCGACCACCTGGCAAGCCACCTCACTATCCCCCTTTCCACACCACAGAGCTTGAATCCAGAGGCCACCCTGTTTGTGAACCTCAGGTCTCTGTCAAACTACTTGTATAAGCACAAATTCCGAAGAGGATGAGAAGTCATCTGCTTAGTATTTCTTTTCTGAGCTATATATATGTATACATTACAAAGCATATACAAAAAAATTTTTAAGAGATTTTTAAAAGATGCAAATTCAAGTTCAATAGTTTGTTCTTATAACGCCAAGGATTGTCTGTCCATATCCCACTTTACTTGAGAGAACATCGCTCTCAATAATTAATTGCTTGACATTTTAATATTAGCCATTCATATAGTTCTCCTCTGTCCTGTTGAAATCATCTGCAACGATCAAGCAAAAAGCTTGGGGAGGAATGAGCACACGTGAATTAGTAAGGAAGATGAGGATCCTTCCTGCCCACCTATCTACCTAAAAGCAGGAACTTTGTATCCAGCCAAGGTCCTTAAACTTCCCCAAACACACTTCATAAGTTCTCCTCTTCATGGCAATGCTCAAATGGTTCTCCAAGACCCGTAATCGTCCCTCACCACATGTCCAAACCCTACATCTTTCTCAAGATCAAGTTTAAATGCCACCTCCATGAACAAGGTTTTTATAACTAAACGAATCTAATTTCTCCTTTATCTATACTGTCCACAGCACTTTGCGCTTATGTTTTATATTTCCAACACTATCCCAATGTTATATCAGTATCTTATCTCAGTAAATTCCTAAAGTGTGAAAAATTCCTATGGTCTCAGTATTTATTAAAGATGCAGCTTCTTAATTGTTCTAAGCTGAGCATGGCATTTAGAATAATATATTCCAAAAAGGGAATTCAAACTAAGCAAGATTAAAGCTTTTTGTCTAATTAACATTTAAAGCTAATATCTTTAATTATAAGAATTCCAAAGTAAAACTACCCACCTCTATCAGAAGTTAATTTTTCAGGATAAAGAAATCACTATGTGATTTTCTTTTTTTTTTTTTTCTTTTCACTATGTCATTTTCATACCAAAGCAGGAACTTACTCAAATATGTTACTGGCCTGCATTAGTTCACTCTTTAAAATTAGAATTACTTCTTAATAGCTAAAGAGCCACTAAAAGTTCTATCACTTGTAAAAGAGACACTATATTCCTAATTTACAATATAAGGTACATCTAAAACTAAAACCAGGATCAGAGCTAACAACCAAGCTCATATCAAATGAACATTATTAAAAGTCTTATATTCACTTAGTCTTTTACCTCTAATCCAGTTTTGCCAAAGTCTATATCCCAATTACTTTACATTCTGTATCTCCTTTAAAACTCACTGCCGTCTAGTTGATTCCAACTCCTAGTGACCCTCTACAGGCTTTCTCATTCAATATTCACTGCCAAAGAGCTGATGCTGACTCACAGCAACCCTAGTCTAGGGCAGGGTAGAGCTGCCCCTGTGGGTTTCCAAGACTGTAATTCTTTACAGGCGCAGAGAGACCCATCTTTCTCCTGTACAGGCATCAGTAGATTGTAAATCATCACAGAAGCAGACAGCCTCATCTTCCCGAGAAGGGTTTGACCCACCAACCTTGCCATTAGCAGTCCAACACTTACACAACCAGAGCTGAGTATTTCTCTTACCAGGCGTAAAAGAGCTTCTTAAAGTTTCAGTCTTTAGTAGGTAAGGAATGTTTTATATTCAAATTTTATACTCAAATGAGTACTTTCAATGTTTTTAAAAGAAACTTTCTCCACTCCTATGGGCATTTATGTGACAGAATAACAAAGCACACACTTAATTTTTGAAAGTCAGAAGAGAAAATATATAAATATATATATGCTACATGAGTTGTTTTTAAGCTGTATCCCCAACCCCCCCAAAAAAATGTTCATTTCTTAATTTATTTGTCATCAAGCTATCAGCGTTTTTCTTAT